TGGGTGTAAAAAGATTTTACAAATGCATCTCATTTGACGCACAGATTTACACTCGAACCAAACCATTTTTCTGTTTTTTTTTCCCTTTTTGGTTATTTCTGTCCATGATTGGATAGATAACAAACGAACTATAAATACTCCAAGATTTTTTTGACTTCAATAAAAAGTAAAATCGTTTTTGTAGGATGGAAACTTTTTGAGGTCAAACCCCACCCCCCCCCCCCCCACCCCCAAACTAAAGGAAATAAGTTTTTTATCCGACATCGATCTTTTGACGTCGTCCCTAATTCAATGGTGCTTTCATTGACGCAACAGAAAATCATGCATTTCTATTGTGTTCTTCAAAAACATCTTACTATACCGTTGCCAAAATGAAATTTACAAAAAAAAATTGAAATAAAAGAAATTGGGCAACCACAACATTTTCTTGTGCCACAAGTCCTCTGAAGTCACAATTATATTTTTGTTCTTGGAAGACTGACTCCAGCTGTCAAAAATTAAACTGACTCGGCTTGATTATTGGATTGCATTTGACTCAAAACTTAGTCCTGTTAGAGGACACACTCCAATTGATATAACAGGTTGTTGACTCTCATCCAATGCTATATTTAACAGCCAATGAAAGTCACTGACTTTCTGAGTGTCCAGATGACTGAAGGGTCTAACCCATGAACTGTACACTGGTTACCAAGCAACCATTCTTCCAACTATAAAAGCATTCAGCCTGGCAAAGACAGGAATTCCCATCTAATGACAAGATTTTGTCAATTTGGCAATATCTGCAGACTTTTACTGTTGACGCTGGGTGACCATTAGAGACAAGATGGTTGGGCGGGAATGATCTGCAGTACACTTCAGGGCTCATACCACTAATTGAATTTCCATAGACGACAATGTTAACATATGATGAGATTTCTATATGAAAATGATGAACAAAGTTGAAAACATGGCTCAAAAATGTTGGCCAGCTCAAACTCTTACAAATCTCAGATAAACAAGACACACCTACTGTATTTAGATTGCACCTAGAGAAATCACTGGAAAAACACCAAGATTAGAATATCTAAATACACATAGAATAAACCCAATATCTAAGTACACATAGAATAAACCCACAGGTACACAGCCGCTAAGTAGTAAACAAAAGACCACATGTTGGTCTCACCTTTGATCCAGGTGACCACGCGCTCAAACAGGGAGCACCTGAGTAAAAACAATATTTAAAAAATTTCATTGGTTCTTACAAGGCATTTAAATTGAGGGGCTACGAGCAGCCATTGGTTGATTAGTGGCATGAGACCTGCATGCCTTGCATAAATAGTGGTACCGGTACATGTTATTTTCCTGCGACTCATGAGGGCGGTGTTCATGGTCATAGATAGACAATGCATTCTTGGATACACAAATTGAGGTACCAGTTCATAAATATCAAAACAAATGGAATAGCCATTTTGAAGAAGACCAAAATATAATTTTTTACCAAAAATAATAGAGTGGAATATGGAAAATACAAGGTACTGTAAACTATATATTTTCACTAGCGTTTAATTTCACAATTTTGATGTTTTGAGCAGTTTCATTTGATTTTGAATTAAAAAACTCGGCAGGGAAACAGTGATTACTATTGTTATCATTTTGCTTGTTCACTGAACACATCGGACAGGACCACGCAATGTACCAGCATGTACATATTAAGTATCAAAGCAATTAAGACTATAGTTTCCAAGAAGCCTAAAGTGTTATTTTTCACCAAAAATAACTCAAATATACCGTATTTAAGTTTGGTCTTCTTTTTCATTGAAGTTGGGATACTATACTCAACTGTAGATTATTTCTACCTCAGGGTGGCGCTATAATTAATCTTTTTTCCATATGAACCAATTACCACCTCATGCCAAAATAACCACGATTAAACTTTTAAAACATATTAAACACTATATTACGCGATCGCATTCGAAGTACAAACATTTTACAAACATTCTCACTATAGTATTTAGATTACAAGCTTTTCTCGGCGTCCTTTTTAAATAAGAGTTGCTTCACTTGGCTGACGTGATTCATCACTGAAATGTTTCCTATATCAGTGTTTGTTCATTCACCACAGACTATAGCCAGTGTTGCACGAGACCTCATCGGCAGTACGTGCCTGTCTGCACGGTCCGAACGTTGACGTACGTATGTAACAACACGTATAAAGGCACGAAGACCGTACTATGGGTCTCTATATGTTGTGTGTGTATTGTAAAGCTTCTATGCTGAATGATAATTAAAACAAAAGAAATCGTGACAGTGGCCTCGTCCTGCCGGGTCACCAATGTTTCCCCAAATATTCAAAGGGCTATTTAATTTCGTCACATTTCTCAAGGAGGGATTAAAACAGCGAATTACCGGTAACTACAGACAACACTATGCTAAAATTAACATAAGTTTTTTGTTTTTAATGCGATTTACATATTGAAATAACTCACGATCCTTTAAAATGAAAGGAGTGTATGCTCAATGTGAGTATTATTTTTTTTTAATTATTTTATTTTAATTGAACCAGTCAACAATATTTGGTGTGAACCGATAGTAAAATGGATGTTATTACTGATCATACGCAATGACTGCAGAATGATCACTGTTACTCTGACTAAATGGTCGCTTTCATCACTTCTGCTGTCAATTTCTCAAATAACTTCTCTTTCATTGTCACTTGTAACACTTTCCAAAGTTGCATTTTTTATCGTAACTTATTTGACATCTTCTTTTTGTCCTTATGCAGTTTACGTTCTCAAAATTTATGAAATGTTCGATGTATTTAATAATACTATTCACAAATACAATAAACCAACCAAAGTGAACTTCAGTCACACAGGGGCGTCGATCCATTCTGAAAAGTGAGGGGGACATTGTTGTGTCCGCGTAAACGGCCAATGTCCACGCTTGCGCGAACAGGGGGGTGTCTGAGAAGGGGGGACTGCCCTATGCTCCGACATCTCTATGTTCCGACACCACTATGTTCCGACACCCCTATGTTCCAACACACTGTATACTTGTGTCAAACTTAATTTGACTAGCCGTGCGTGACCTTTTACTACCTTGATATAATCAGGATGTCCTGTGCGTTAATACTGGAAATCCAACTGTAGTGTAGCCCAGCCATGATGCTCGAAAGTCCGTGAAGGCGGGATCTTGCATAATGTTATCGGATAATTATCAGAGAATTATCAAACAATGTTGCCCATTTTATCGTTCTAATACTTCGACAATTATTTGACAATATCCGTGTCTGTTGGATGTGGTTCCAACCTTAAATCCTCGATTGCCTAACTATCGAAGTTTTAAATTGATAATTATCGGAGAATTATTTTACCTTTTTTTATGAAAGTTGTACTTCGATATTCATCAGTCGCGGAATTGCAAGGTTGCCGTTTACATCCGGTAGCACCTTTCCAAGTTTATCTACATATTAATTAAAATCATTTATTTATTTATTTATTATGCGAGAGATGAATAGGCACTGCATTTAGCATTCCGTAGTGTTTTCATAAGTTTTTTGAGATTGCCAAAAAATACAAAGGTTTCACACTATCTCTTTCCATTTCTATATTGTGTGTTTTCGGCCAACATTCCTTATTTACCTCCACACGCTATACGTTTTCCTATCAATCTAAGACATTGATAGGTCTCAGAGAATTAAACCACCACCCAGCTGTAGACCCTGTCTAATATCAATCTAAAACATCGAGAATTATCAGATATTTATCCGATAATTCAAATGTACATTAGGCCGGCTTCCTCTAATGCGAGGATATTGCACAAGTTTATATTACCTGAAAATTTGATGCATACTTCATCGTTCAAGGTTAAGGTCCATATTAGACAGATTTCCTTAAGGAAGTCAGAAAGCACTATTCTATTCCATTCTTCGTTGTTCCATTGCATTGTTGCATTGCACTGATATTCCTCTTTATTCTGAAAATATTCCCATATGTTACACTCATAAATTACAGTTTGTATAATACACAATTTAAATACTTATCCTTATATCTGCCAAAACATGCATATCCCGTATTTATACTTTACATATCTCCTTTGTCAATATCCTTTGTGTTCTGCAGATGTATTTGAAACTGCCTATTCGCTCCATTGTGCAGTCGTCGATTTTGTATTTTAAGTTTGTGTAGATTACCCAAACTTCTTTGCTACATATGTTACTTATGTGAATCTTAGGTCAGGCAACGTTTCGCCATCTATTTGAATTCCATTTTTATCTATATGTAATTTCTTGGCAGTGTAATAGCGTTCTCTTAAATAAATAAATAAATAAATAAATAAATAAATAAATAAATAAATAAATAAATAAATAAATAAATAAATAAATAAATAAATAAATAAATAAATAAATAAATAAATAAATAAATAAATAAATAAATAAATAAATAAATAAAATATTGAGAAAGCATAAAAAGACTTATTTTCAAATAAATGA